TTGAGAATGGTGTAAAAACCGAAACCTTGGTCGTATTAATATCAATACATTGAGTAAGTGGAAATTAGACAAAGTATTTTATTTCTATATCTAATTGGAGATAGTTTCATATCGATTTATATTGAGAAATCAAAATTAGTACTATATATATAATCGATTGGAGCTTATAAAATAAGACTATAAGCAATATTTTATGAGCAATTCACATGCCTAGCTCAAAAAAATTATAGGGAATAAAGAGGACGAAATCGAAATATAGAAACGGATTGACCTCACAAAAAAGTAAATGAAAGGAATAATAAACTCTGAACACCAAAAACAACACAACAGAATTTTCAAATCATTTTGAATAAAAGTATATAACTTACAAAAAAATTAAAAAGCTATAAGAACAGCCATGCCAGTGGTGCTGCAAATTAAAAAAATGAAATCAATTAGGTAAATAAATAGAACCGCATGCAAATGTAGTGAGAGAACCTTCACCGTAGGTAACTGCGTCAAACCTGAAAATACATCAAAATAAATTTTACAAATAACTATCAATCGATAGCTTAACACCATTAAAAAACTATCCTGAAATCAAAATATGAAGACTTAATATTAACCAATGGAGGTGATCTGCTGAATCATAAATCATATTTCAGTAGTTTCAGAATCTTCTGCTTAATTTTTCAAAAATCTATAACTACGTTGAAGTTTATAGGCTTCCTTTTTTATATTTGAATCCAACATTTCGATAAGAGCTTGCCAATTTTTTTTCCAAATTCAAATCTCAGGGTGGATTAAAACTTTATACAACTAACAGTAATCCAAAGTTCACTATGTATAAAAATACAACAAAGTCTGTGTCACAGCTATTTTTCAGGTTTGTAGGCTGTGGGCTGTAGTTTTTTGTGTCTGAAGTTTTATCTGCTACTGCAGGTCTGTCGGTAGCCAGGCGGTTCGACATGGGTGCTTTGTTCACTCAGTCAATCGACCGATGTGTGAGTCGATGGTTCAAGCCGCAGGTTGAACGCTCAATTTTCACTTGCTATCGTCCAACCCGTGTTAGGAATCACACGTTAAAAGATAAGACCTCGTTAGTCCTTAGCTCGCACAAGTTTCGACTTCTGAGGGTCGTAATTGGTAGGGGTTCAATAGCTGGTTAATGGAAAAAACATATTTTTTGTTTTCAACATCAATGGAGATGAGGCAACCGAAGAAGTGCTCAGGTTATTCTCAGAGCAGATACTATATTACTGGAATTCGTCTCCAGTTTTATTCCATTGGTGGTAGGTGTGGCTTCGTTTCTATTTGTTGGATTAAATGCCCTTATTCGTGTAAAAACAAAGACAGGTTAGTCAGATTTCATTTATGTTAATTCCCTCTTCCTTACAGTTGAAATGTTTATGAATTTCTATTGCCTCCATATATACTTTTGGATAGTAATTCTGTGTTTTGTCCAGTGTTTGTGTTTCTTCAAATTGATAACGAGTGCCTACTAAGAATGTATGTTCAGCTATAGCTAATTTGTCGGTTTGCCTGAGACAACAAATTTTTTGTGTTCAGAGAGCCAGATACTTATACTTCTTTTCGTGCTTCCAATGCTGATTGACCAGCAGTTACAAGGGATCCAGTATGCCCACGATGTTGCTGAAGGCTACCTAGGGTCCTTAGTTGACCTCAGACTCCCTCTGATATTCTATCAGACTAGCTTTGACACAATTATCTCCAGTCGTGAAAGTTTACACTCTTTGAACAACAAAGCCTGTTACTTGTACTTACTATTGAAAATAATTGAATAAACTATTTGTTCCCTATCGGTGGGTGACGTTCCAAAACAACTGGGTCACCAGTTTTACAACTGAAGGTGAAAAAATTTGTTTTGATGTATACAATGAGTCACAGGTAAGCAAAGCATCAGATTAAAAATTCCACCGACACAACAATCATGCTTGAGAATAAATCATACCTTGACATTGATAGCCCTGCTTGCCCAATACACCCCTGAAAATAAAACCACCATTATCTAAGTTAGTGCCACCCTTAAACCCAAAAACACACAAACGCCCGGTGTTTTTCAACGAACGTTTTTTAATTTTGAGAAGTAGTACAAATTTACGTTTACAAGTCATTAAATTAAATCTGTATTTCATTTTTATTTTTGCCCAGTCTTTTATTATTTTGAAATTGGTCAACACTCTTGCAGGAAACTTATTACATGAGTAGTCCTTTCTCAAACAGGGAAAGTGTATTTTCATCTATTTTTTTAGGAACAAGGAGATGAAATGCTCAACAGAGAAAGAAAACTTGGTCTACCGCAATAAAAATTTTTAGATGGATATATAAGCGGACTAGTTACTCAAAAATAAGTAACTTGAAGAGGGTGTTATGTCACATTGTTGCCACTGCACAGCCACTTACGAAGAAATGACAAAGTATGTTGACATGAACTGAAATAGTTTTCATGTAAGAACAAGAATGTGTGAAAATATAAGCAATAGTGAAAAGCTGACAAAACCCAACCATAGAAAAAAACATGTTATTGAATCAGGTTATGTCATAATTTTAGGCTCCTATTGCCCCCTATCGTTGATTTTCTACGCGTTGTTTTCTTCAAGTCCATGGGTTCTGCTAGTTTTACCGTTAAGTAGGCAGAACCAAATCGAAATCCTTAATTTTTTGTAAAATTGAATAATTTTAGGCTCCTTTCGTTATGATGTTGATTTTTGTTTGCTTCTTGTTTGAATTGAATATTTGGGTGATTACCTCAGACACACACGATGAAAGCAGGAATAATTTTTCAAAAACATTCTTCAACTATGGATGAATATTACTGGGGTTTTCAATCACGTTAAATCTTATTGTTGAATATGATCACTTGGTGATTAGAACCCTTGTTGAGGTGTTCGGATGAAACTCCAGTAGGTAATATTCATTACTTCACCAAAGGTTCCAAACAGTGTAACACAACTATGGATAAGATGAGAATTATAGACTCATTTCAGGCTTCTATGACCCCTATCACCGACTTTCTAAGTATTTGTTTTTAATAGTAGGTTCTGCTAGCTTTACCATTAGCTGGTAGAAACAAATCGAAAACTTTCACTTTTTGGAAAATTTGATTTTGCAATAACTTTAAGTTCATTTTAGGCTTATTCATTGTGATACGAATCACACGTTAAAAGGTAAGACCCCGTTAGTCCTTACCTCGCACAAGTTTCTCAACTTCTGAGAGTTGTCGTTCGTATGGGGGCGAGCTGATTAATGGAAAAGCATTTTTTAAAACAGATATTAACCTTTTTTATTCCTTGTTTTAGTTGAATATTATGGAGATTACCTCAGACATACGTGATAGAAACGAAAATAATTATCTAGAAGGTGAAATCTGAAATAATTTCTCCCGGATATTTTTGTGCATGTGAGACATGAAGAAATCTGTAACTCTTGTTTGATGGAACATTTTCGATTTTCGTTTCTATCTTGTATAGCCGTGATATGACTGATACAACAAAATATTTTTCTCTGCTCTTCTTGTTCTTTTTTCAATTCAATTCAATTTATCAACTTATTTGATAACAATACATATATTTTGATTACTGCTATATAGAGGCATCTGGTTTAGGAGCAGAAATTGTCTAGGCAAAGATGTCTGTATTCCATTTCGGCACCCTTCCCTTTGCTTTTAAATTTCTTTTATATGTAAATTAGTTGAGAGAAAGTATATTGTTGTAAATCATGCCCTAAAGAAAATAACGCCAGCCGCCACTAGTAGCCATTAACCAATAGTGACGTAGCTAAGAGCGCGCGAATATACGATGTTCCGTGCCACTCTAGAAGCAGCGAGAATCATGCTACCGATTTCGATGGAACTTCGGCGAAATTTATACTGCATTCGATTACGATATATAAACCCTAGCCTCGAGCATATGGGGACAGTCAAGTGGACGTTACAGTGCGGTACGCAAAGTGATCTAGTGAGGCGATTGACATTCAAATAATAGTTGAAGTTTAGTTGAAGTATTTGTTGTATTTAAAGTGAAATAAAGTTAAGTTTGATTATTCAGTGTAGTCAATTATTGGTCAACCCACGGGGAAACGCAACAATGTAATCAATCAAAAAGAAGTTTATTGTAATAATGAGGAGGAACCAACGGAGACAACAGGGATAGGTTTTCCTTTTATGCCTTTTAGGTGCATCACGGAATCAATAGNAGAACCATGAGAGCAACACATCTTTTGAATTTAATATTTTGAGTTATATCGTAAATGAATGCTCTGAATTTCTTTCCGTCTGGTCTAGGAGGTAAATGCAGAGGTTGGGCGATCTTCAATCTCTTCTTAAGATCACACCTAATAAAACAGATATTAAACTTTCACATCATCATGTAGAATTATTCAATAAAAGCTTCTATTAAAAGTTTAACAGAAATTGAGTTCAATTTGGACCAGGGCTTTTTCGAAGATGGCAAATCTTTTACATACATCGTATCAACAAAATCATTTCAAATGAAAACCAACAGGTTTTTTACAATTTCTGGATTTCGCTTTCAACTGTATTTCCAACTATACAATTAATTTACTACCGTGTAACCCACGGAGAAAACAACACTTTTTCAATTTTATCTTGTTAGAGTTAAATTGGAACCTTTGCCGGTGTGAGTTGAGTTTGAACTTCGAGAAAACTAGTTATACATTAATACATGAAAGACTAATTAATGCCTTATGAGAAAAATACTCCTCCCTTGCACAATAATTGTAGAATGAATTTGCAAAAAATAAAAAATTTTCATCTTTATACATTAATCAAACTTTGTCAAGGTTAATACCTACATATTCAGAATCTGAGGAATAGAAAATCACCAACCAACGGAATTTTGGGATACTGCCACAAAATCGACTTTGAAACCCTTAGAAATAGATATTACAAAATAAAACGAAAAAATGTATTTACAACTTGTCATTTCTTGAATCAACAACCAAAACAGAGTTAAGTATGTTCATCCATTTGGCCACTTTAAATAAAAAAAAAACTGTTACAAAGCATTTCATGGCTAGTGTCGAAAATAATTAATTCAATAAACATGAAACACTCATGGATTTCACCTGGTTTTACTGAGTATTAATTTTATTTTTGTTATTGTCTCATAATAGTTGTTACCTTATATTCCTTTTATCTACATGTAATTTTCTTGGGATTATTGAAGTTATTATTATTGTATAAAGTAAATTTTCTATGAACTTCAAACTTCACTTCATAAATATGAAATCAATGGAAAGAGAATGAACCAGTCAGTTCTGTTTACTGAAAATATTGTACATACCATTCGATGTTATCTTCAGATCTATCCTGATGTGTAATCGTCCTTTGGGTTCCAAGTTCACCTGCAAATAAAATCAAAAATATTTCAATCTAATGATTGATAATCCATCACAGTTGGAGAGTAAAAATTTCATGCTTTACTTTAAATTAATAATTTTTTCTACTATGGTCATTAGCCTCGTATTCTAGAATACAAACTAAATAGGAAAAAGTGATTTTCGTATAATTAAATGTTCATATGGAAGTAGTTGTTCCAAGAGGGTGTTTTCTTCCAGTTTGTATCCGAAATTAACTTCTATACATGACCTTACGCATCTTTGTAAAAAGTTTATTTTGAATTCGATTGCTTTCTTTCTTTTTTAGAAGTTCTTCACAATTTTTTGTGCAAAAATGGAGAAGTGAAAGCCAAAACCTTTCTTTCCCAAAAATTAATATCTCCTAAAAATATACCCGTTTCAATTCATCTGTCCGTTTAAAATCTGTTTTTCCGTTAACCAACTGTCGCACCCCTACGAACGACAACTCTCAAAAGTTGAAACTTGTGCGAGCTATGAACTAACCAGGTCTTACCTTTTAACGTGTGATTACTAACACGGGTTGGACGATAGCAAGTGAAAATCGATAGTTTAGCCTGCGGCTTGAACCACCGACTAACACGGCGGTCGATTTGAGTGAGTGAACAAAGCACCCACGTCAAACCGACCAGCTGTGCCTGTTCTAAAGTAGCGATTCACATTGGATTTGAATCGCTGGAGATTAAACCCATTTGAAAAAACGCAGTTCCCCAGATGAAAAAGTTCTTAAACAGTGAAGTTAGAGATGTACTGAGTTGAACCTCAAAACGATGAGCAGTCACAGTCCGTCGCGTATTTCTGATATTTACCGCTCTTGGTGGAATTAAATGTGCCAAGTTGAACACCTCCCTTGAAAGTATCTATAGAAGAGAGGCAAATCCAGCAACTTCAGAGTATGTTTGGAGGCAGAGCTCCATACATGAGAAAAATATTCCAAAGGAGGTCTGAAGCAGCCTTTGCAATTCCAGCAACATTATTGTGCCAAGACATATTGGTTTTCATTTTAACCCCCAACAAACTTATCAAAGCAGAAAGCGGAATTGTCTGACCTGACATTATTATATCCGGTTCGGAGACATTTATATTCTTGGAGAAAACCGATGCCTGGGTTTTTGTGACATTGAATTGAACCTGGTTACTTTCACCCCAATTTGAAATCACTTCTAGATCCTCATTAAGATATGCAACC